CTCACTGCAACTTCTGCCTCCCGGGTTCAAGTGATTCTCCTGTCTCGTGCCTCAGCCTTCCCAGTAGCTGGGACTACAGGCATGCACCACCACACCCAGCTAATTTTTGTCTTTTTAGTAGAGAGACTGGGTTTTATCGTGTTGGCCAGGCTGGTCTCGAACTCCTGGCCTCAAACGATCTGCCCCGCAGGCGAGGCCTTTCTGCATCCTCCTTGCCACTGCCCCATCTCCACTCCTAGGTTCCTTCAGCAACTCCTTGGATAAGAACACAAATATGCACCCTTCCTACGAACAACCTTCGGAGCCTGGGCTGGCCAGTGCCACAGGAAAGAAAAAGTACATATTTTCATAAGGGCAATGCAACCTGCAAAGATGTCACCCTGCCCACTCTGAGGACAGCCTTTCGTGCCATTGTGCAGAGGAATCTCAGCCCTCTCCTGTCATCATGAGTGGGCTCATGGCTGCCCTCGTCACGACCAAAAAGCCCACTGAAGTGGGGTTTCATCCCATCAAAGGCTGGGAACCACTTCTCCATCAGACCCATGAGGCACAGTGCCAGAGTCCACGGAACTTTGGATTTTTTTTTTTTTTTTCTTTTTTTTTTTTTTGAGATGGAGTTTCCCTCTTGTCATTCAGGCTGGAGTGCAATGGCACAATCTCGGATCACTGCAACCTCACCTCCTGGGTTCAAGTGATTCTCCTGCTTCAGCCTCCCGGGTAGCTGGGATTACAGGTGCCTGCCACCATGCCTGACTAATTTGTTTTGTATTTTTAGTAGAGACAGGGTTTCGCCACGTTGGCCAGGCTGGTCTTGAGCTCCTGACCTCAGGTGATTCACCCTCCTCGGCCTCCCAAAGTGCTGAGCCACTGTGCCTGGCCTTCTTTTTTTTTCTTTTTTTTCTTTTTTTTTCTTTTTTTAATGGAGGAAGAGACCCATGAAGGTAGAAATGACTGCCTTCACTTTCATGGACTGTGGAGCCATGAAAGCTGGAATGTGGCTCTGCCAAAAGTCAGGCATCGAAATGAACAGGGGCAACTTTAAAGTATAGCTTTGTATTTATTTTGTCTCTTTCTCTGAGGTTTTAAAGACTCCCAGGCCCAATTTCTTCGGTGGAGTTTGAGGTTTAGAGTAGCTGGGGTGCCCTTGGCACCCTTAGTAGGACAGATGCTTTCTTCGAGTTCACATGTAGGCTGGGGGTGCAGCCCTGGGATGACACTGGGCTGCATGTGCCAGGGAGTGTCTCCCTCTTCCAGGGCCAAGCTCAGGGCCTTGGCTTTTTCTGTTACTTAAGGAAGGACTATTTGACAGCCCAAGCTTGCCAAATTGGGATGGGGCTGCCTTGAGTGGCCTGAGTCACTGGACATGTTGAAGCTTTTCTCACGGGCGAGAGGCTTTCTTTGGGCTCTGGGTGGACTAGGTACCTCTGAAGTTCTTGCCAAAGTCTGAGACATTAGGATTCCGTGAACATTAGATTTAGTGCTATATAATTAGGATGCTAAACCCCAGGAGAGAGCGGTGGGGGGAAATCAGATGGAAAAAGAAAGTACACAATACTTTCCAAAATCGAACGCAGATCTTGTTTCTCTTGCTGACTGATTTGACCCATCTGTGACGCTGATCTCTCTTAGGGGCACAATTTAGAGAAAACTTGATCAAACAGCTCCAAACCACCGCGGCCTTTTCAGACTGCTTTGCGGTCCTCTTTGCTTTCCGGTTGGTGGCAGGAACCTTGGACTCTGGACAGGTTTCTGGACTGTTCCGTGCTCTGTGAGTGCTGACTCTGCATTCTTGACTTTGCATCAGAGTGGGATGCCAGGTCCTGGAGCTTGTTTCTTAAGAGATAAGCCACCAGCTCCATGGACTGTGGGAGAGAAAGGCAAACAGAAACACTCTGTACTGTAGTCACTGGAGAGATTCTGCCTGGGGTTGTAGGTAGAGCCCTGCAGAGGAGAAGGAGGTGGCCAACAGGAGATGGAGCCTCAGAGCAGGTCCTTTCTGCAGCCCCCTTACAGGGCGGATATCCCCCCCGCCCCTCAGATATCTGATTGGGGAAAGTGGGGATCTGTGGCCCTGGAGGCTTCCCCGTGAACGGTGCATGCAAAAGCCTGAAGTCTGCTGCTGCGCCCAGCCTCAGGGCTACCAGGGCCTCTTTCTTGGGAAAGTCCAGCTTCCCATTAGCTCAGCCCGCCTGGCTCCAATAAGCCCCGCTGACTTCCAGTTGGCCTGGCCATCAGATAAATGGCTCTGTTGAAGGAGCAGCCTTTCTATTCTTGCTGAAGACTTTTTTTCCCCCCAACATGAGCACAACAGGCTGGAGGAGGATGTGCCACAGGTAGAGTAACCTTGCACCATATGACTTAAAAAAAAGTCACAGGAGCAAAATCCACTAAAATACAAACAATGGCTGCCTTTGGGTGATGGACTAAGTGTGTGTTGTTCTCTCTTATATTTCCGAATGCTCTCATTTTTTCTACCATAAACATTCACTATTTTTTATTTATTTATTTATTTTTGGAGACAGAGTCTTGCTCTTTCACCCAGGCTGGAGTGCAGTGGTGCAATCTCGGCTCACTGCAACCTCCACCTCCCAGGTTCAAGCCATTTACCTGCCTCAGCCTCCCAAATAGCTGGGATTACAGGTGTGCGCCCCCACACCCAGCTAATTTTTGTATTTTTACTAGAGACAGGGTTTCGCCATGTTGGCCAGGCTGGTTTCAAACTTCTGACCTCAGGTGATCCACCCACCTCAGCCTCCCAAAGTGTTGGGATTATAGGTGTGAGGCACCGCACCTGGCTGCATTCACTACTTTGTAGTGGACTAAAAGAGCTAAAATAAAGAGGGTGGAAAGTTTCACATATCATGGCATTTTGAACAAAAACTAAATCTTTTATAATACAGAGACCCACCCAATGGAAAATGCAGTCAATATTCTCTTGTGGACACCTGACCCACACTGTTTCTAAGCAAATGGCTGTCACCAAGCTGGTGACAGGTAGAACCCCTCAGTTCTTAGATGGGCTCACAGGGATTACCCTTGGGAATCATTAACACATAAACATCCAGCGAGTCCTTTCTCAGTGCCAGGTCTTCTCTGTGCTTTACATGTGTGTTTCATGCCCACAACCACCTGTAAGCGGGCACCAATACGGCAGTCCTCCTTTCTCCACGGTTTCACTTTCTGCAATTTTAGTTACCTGTGATCAACCACGGTCTAAAAATATTAAATGAAAAATTATAGAAATGAATATAAGTTTTAAATTGTGCACAATCTGAGGAGTGTGGTGAAGTCTGGCACCGTCCCATCCCCTAACGCCCAGGACGCGTCAGCCCTTTGTCCGGTGGATCCACGCTGTATATGCTACCTGCCTGGTAGTCACTTAGTAGCCATCTCAGTTATCAGATTGATTGTGAAGGTATAGCAGTGCTTGTGTTCCCGTCATACTTATTTTTAATTACTAATGACCCCAATGTGCAAGAGTAGTGATGCTGGCAATTCGAATATGCCAAAGAGAAGCCGAAATGTGCTTCCTTTAAGTGAAAGGTGGAAGTTCTTGACTTAATAAGGAAAGAAGGCTGAGTGCAGTGGCTCCTGCCTGTAATCTCAGCACTTTGGGAGGCCAAGGCAGGTGGATCATTTGAGGTCAGGAGTTCAAGACCAACCTGGCCAACATGGCAAAACCCCATCTCTACTAAAAATACAAAAATTAGCTGGGTGTGGTGGCATGCACCTGTAGATCCAACTACTTAGGAGGCTGATGCAGGAGAATTGCTTGAACCCTGAAGGCAGAGGCCGCAGTGAGCCAAGGTTGTACCACTGTACCTCCAGCCTGGGCAACAGAGCAAGACTCCATTAAAAAAAAAAAAAAGAAAAGAGAAAAAGAAAGGAAGAAAGAAAGAAAAAGAAATTATATGCTGAGGTTGTTAAGATCTATGGCGAGAATGAATCTTCTATTTTTTTGTTTTTTCTTTTTGTTTTTTTGTGGTAGAGATGGGATTCTGCCTTATTGCCCAGGCTGGTCTCAAACCGCCCATTGTTCACATGGCCATTGTTCAGCCATTATTCACACTTTGGTGGATTTTGTTCATGTCAGAACAAAATCAACTGATCCACCCACCTTGACCTCCCAAAGTGCTGAGATTACAGGCATAAGCCACCAAGAATGAATCTCCTATCCATGAAATTGTAAAGAAGGAAAAAGAAATTTGTGCTAGTTTTGCTGTTGCACCTCAAACTGCAAAAGTTATGGCCACAGTTCATGGTAAGTACTTAGTTAAGATGGTAAAGTCATTACATTTTTGAGTGGAAGACATGAACAGAAATGTGTTCTGATTGGGCGCAGTGGCTCATGTCTGTAATCCCAACACTTTGGGAGGCTGAGGCAGGAAAATCACCTGAAGCCAGGAGTTTGAAACCAGCCTAGGCAACATAGCAAGACCTTGTCTCTACAATAAATAAATAAATAATAAATAAACAAACAAATAATCAATAAAACAACAAAGAAATTTTGTAGGTGTGGTGGTACATGCTTGTAGTCCCAGCTACTCTTAGAGTCAGATGAGAATTACTTCAGCCCGGGAGTTCGAGGTTACAGTGAGTTATGATCACACCACTGCACTCCAGCCTAGATGACAGAGCAAGACCCTGTCTCTGAAAAAATAATGAATAAACATGTTTGATGTATGGCAATCAGGTTTGGTACAATCCAAGGTTCCAGGCATTCACTGGGGCTCTTAGAATGTGTCTCTCTCTGATACGGGGGCGACTACTATATTATTAAAATATCACATATATTTTAGAGAATTGAAAACTAAGGCATTGAGAAGCTAGATATGTGGCAGAGCTGGGATTTGAACCCAGGCAACACCTGGCTGCAGAGCCTGGGTGCTGAACCACTGTACCATTCTGCCTCTTGTAGGAGCAGAAATCCAGGTGGAACTGAAAGGAAAAACAAACAGGTAGAGAAGGTAAGCCAGGCCATAGGAGAGGCTGTTGGTGCTTGCTCTGGGCTGATTCAGGTGGGTGTTGACACAGCAGGGTCAGAGAGTGAGTCAGAAGAGCTGGGGCCAACTCAGTCTTGTTATTTCTGCAGTGTGCTGGACATTTTTCCGACTGTGGTAGCACTGGCCCAGGCCAGCTTACCTCAAGGACGGCGCTTTGATGGTGTGGACGTCTCCGAGGTGCTCTTTGGCCGGTCACAGCCTGGGCACAGGGTAAGTGGAAGAGGTACGTGCCCACACGTAGGCTCTTTAGGAGGCTGGTCTGCTGCCTCTCACCTCTGTGCAGACAGAACCATCCTCAGAAGATGCAAACAAGTGGCTGGTTCAGACCCCAAAAGGTGAAGCATTTGAGATGAGCCTCTTTCCACCCCCAATCCCCAGTCCAGATTTATATTTAACAATTTGGCTTAGGGTGGGTGTATATAGGTTCTCGTTGCCTATAATGGGCAACTTTTCTGGCATGTATTTAATTAATTAATTAATTTATTTATTTATTTATTTTTTAAATTGTTACTTAGTTTTTATTTCATAATCATAAACTTAACTCTGCAATCCAGCTAGGCATGGGAGAGAACAAGGAAAACTTGGAACCCAAAGGGAACTGCAGCGAGAGCACAAAGATTCTAGGATACTGCGAGCAAATGGGGTGGAGGGGTGCTCTCCTGAGCTACAGAAGGAATGGTCTGGTGGTTAAGATAAAACACAAGTCAAACTTATTCGAGTTGTCCACAGTCGGCAATGGTGATCTTCTTGCTGGTCTTGCCATTCCTGGACCCAAAGCGCTCCATGGCCTCCACAATATTCATGCCTTCTTTCACTTTGCCAAAGACCACATGCTTGCCATCCAACCACTCAGTCTTGGCAGTGCAGATGAAAAACTGGGAACCATTTGTGTTGGGTCCAGCATTTGCCATGGACAAGATGCCAGGACCTGTATGCTTTAGGATGAAGTTCTCATCTTCAAATTTCTCCCCATAGATGGACTTGCCACCAGTGCCATTATGGCGTGTGAAGTCACCACCCTGACACATAAACCCTGGAATAATTCTGTGAAAGCAGGAACCCTTATAACCAAATCCTTTCTCTCCAGTGCTCAAAGCACGAAAATTTTCTGCTGTCTTTGGAACCTTGTCTGCAAACAGCTAGAAGGAGACGCGGCCCAAAGGCTCGCCGTCGACGGCAATGTCGAAGAACACGGTAGGGTTGACCATGGCTAGTAGTACAGGACTTTCCTCAGCGGCAGCGTCTGCAAAGCGGCGTATTTAATTTAATAACATAACTACCCAGCATGTTTTGTTAGATGAGATGACTGACTAGTGTCTGCAACCTGTTTATTGTGAGCCTCTCCCTCTAGAAGGGAAACTTCTTGAGGGCAAGAATCTGAGCCATCGAGTTCAGCTCTGAGTTCTCACTGCCTGCAGTCAGCGAGCATTCAGTCCACGCAACCTGGATGAACCAATGAAGGACCAAATGAACAAATGGGTGAAAGACCCTTTGGATGGCAGGGCCAGCAAGGGCCTTACATTCAACATTCTCCCAGCTCTAGAGGGCTAAGCACACTCTCTGTAGCCTGTTTTTTTTTGTTTCTTTTGTTTTGTTTTGAGATGGAGTCTTGCTCTGTTGCCCAGGCTGGAGTGCAGTGGCGTGATCTCAGCTCACTGCAACCTCCGCCTCCTGGGTTCAAGGGATTCTCCTGCCTCAGCATCGCGAGTAGCTGGAACTACAGGCCTATTCCACCATGCTCAGCTAATTTTTGTATTTTTGTAGAGGTGAGGTTTCACCATCTTGATCAGGCTGGTCTCGAACTCCTGACCTCAAGTGATCAGCCCGCCTCGGTCTCCCAAAGTGCTGGGATTACAGGCGTGAGCCACTGTGTCCGACCTGCAGCCTGTTCTTGACCAAACAGTCCTTGGCAATGGCTTTGGGCTTCCACTTCCCAGCGTCACCTCCTCAATGTCCCCTTTTTGCACTCTGAAGCACTCATTGGCAGTGACAGCCAGGAAATGTCAGGCCTCATGGCCTTTCCTTGTAATTTCCCTGTGTTTTCCTTTCACCAAAAGGAAGAGGAAGCAGGAGGAGGCAAGGAGGCGGAAGGAGCACAGAGTCCCTTCTGCGACGCCCTGCAAATGCATGGCTTCTTGATGAGGGACCCACACATCAAAGGGTCTATTTATGTCTTTGCTAAGGGTCACATGGAAGTGACTCAAATGTACACAAATGTCCTGTGGCTGGTAGTTATCAAAGCTGCCCTTCCCACCCAGCCTCCCCCAGCAAACCAAAACATGAGTCTTCTATGAGCCATCGGCACTTCTGTGCACATTAATGCAGTTTTTAGGGGTTGTTGGATGAGATCTGAGAGGTCTTCTGAAGTCCTGCTTCTCCCCAGAATATCTGCCCCATAGAGCTGCAGACCCTTCCAGGCCTAGCCCTTCTCCCTGAGCAGGAGCAGCCAAGCAGGAAGATGGTTTCCGCCTTGTGGTTGGAAGTTAGCAGTATGTGACCCTGGAGGGTTGTCACAGACGTCATTGGAGAGGTGCTCTGGAGTGTTTATTACCATGGCTGCTAGGAATAATTGGGGTCATCAGGAAGTGCTTCAAGGACTGTGGTCTCCTTGACGTTGTCGGTACTGCCTGTGGAAGCCAGCTCCTTCATGTACTAACTTCCTTTCTCAGACGGGAGAGCTCTGCTCTTGCTGTAACTGGAGTTTTGCACAGGCTCCCAGAGACCCCATCCTAACTCGTGCCCAGCAGGGTTAGGCCCAGGAACCAGATTGGAAAACCAGATACAAGTCACAGCATCGTCGTGGGAATGTATGATGGGGTGATTAATGCAGCTGGAGTCAGGACTGATTTGCTCCCTAACCACACCCCATGGCCCAGAAAGAAACAGCCACACTTACAGTTTGTGGGAAGCAGCTGACGGTATCTTCAAGGTTAAGAGCACATGGGGCTGGCACCTGTGGGTCACACCCAGTCTCCCAGAGCATAGCTGCAGTGTCAGCAAAGACACTTGAGAGAAGATTCTGAAGTTTGAGGACAACATGGGTAGTCGTTGAACCTGAATTTGGGTTTGGTCTTCTCTGGTCAGTTCTCTCTATTGAAGCAAAGTAATAGGCCTAAAGAAATAAGAGTAAATTGTCTCAAATTTGGAATAGCTATGGAGGAGGCTAGAAGGTAAGAATACGAGGAATTATATATATACACACACACACAATATGCTATACATACCTACATGTATGCATATGTGTGCATATGTCTATACATGTGTATTATACATGTGCCTGCATATTCTAGACATGTATATGCATATGTATGTTTTGTTTTAATTTAATTTTGTTTTATTGTATTTTACTTTTTGAGATGGAGTCTCACTCTGTCACCCAGCCTGGAGTGCAGCGGCACAATCTTGGCTCACTGCAACCTCCACCTCCTGGGTTCAAGCGATTCTTCTGCCTTGGCCTCCCAAGTAGCTGGGATTACAGGCGCACGCAGGCCCAGCTAATTTTTGTATTTTTAGTAGAGACGAGGTTTCACCATGTTGGCCAGGCTGGTGTCAAACTCCTGACCTCAGGCGATCTGCCTGCCTCGGCCCCCCAAAGTGCTGGGATTACAGGTGTTAGCCACTGCGCCTGGCCTGCATATGCATGTTTATATACCATGCATGTATACACATGTAGGCATATGCACATCTGTAAACATACATGTATACACATGTATGCTTATGCATGCGTATACCATACATGCATACACATGTTTGCATATGCATGTGTCTATATAAACATATATACGTATGCTTATGTTCATACACTATACATGTGTACATATGTATGCATATGCATGTCTATGCGCATATATGTATACACATGCATGCACACACATACATGTATACATATGCACATATCCAGGCACATACATAGAGATATACACATATATTTATATGCATGTGTATGCACATGTATACATATGTATATACATGCATTTATTGATATACACATATGTGTACACAGATGCATATGTCTGTAACACATGCATACATGTATACATATGTATTTTTAAAGAAGCACAATTTATATTCACCCTCAGATACATCCTGGACTTACAAGGATTCCAATATGAGTTGGTTTAGAAACAGTTTCAGTTCTAGAAGCTCAAAGTAACTCCTGGCTACTCAGCTGGAAACAATATGCCAACGCTTCTCAGCAATCGGGTCCTTCCCTGTGGCAAACCAAGTAACCAAGAGCTAAGGAGAGAAGCAAGAGAGTTGAGAGGTGTCATGGGCATAATGGGCTCCGGTTCTACACTGGATGGTCTTCTCACAACCCACTCCATCAACCTCTAGGGGCGTTGTGTGGTGATGTTCAAAACCACAGCAGCTGACACCATGCTGCATGTTCGTGCATCAGCTCAACCTCCTGCTTCTGATCTTGATGGGTCTGTGTCTAGGCAGTGAGGGGCACCTGGAGACACATGAGGGCCGGGAAGGGGAGGGCTGCACAGCCTAGAACCAAATGTCCCACTTTGTGCTTTCCTGACTCCCAGATGGAAGCTGAAGGTTGTAACATCACCACTGGTTGGGTTGTGTCTTAGCCCCAGGTTGTCATGGTCAGGTCCAGAAATTGTCAACGAAGGAACGTTTCCCCTAACAGCTCTGCACCTGCCCAACCTAACACAGTCTGGGGCTGCTGTAGGTCATGAAATGCTTGGCATGCCCCTGGAAGCCATACATTGAGGAAACAAGCTGCCTTTTAACGTCCAGAACGCCCATCGCTTCTCTTAGAGAGGCCCCTAGTGGCGAGAGACATCCTCTGGGGTGGCTGGCAAACTGATCACCCCCATCCACCCCCTTTGGAGGCTGTGAGCTGTGCATCCCCACCTGAATGGAGAAGAAGCTCACCTTCAGGGGATGCTATATCAGCACCCTGTAGGACCTAAGGTAAGGGAACGCTCTCGTGCTTAAAAAACAAAACAAGATAAAATAGAACAAGAAAGGCCACCAGGAAGGCAAAACAAGTTTGCAGAAGATAAAGTCATCTTTGAAATTTGAACCAGGCATCTGGAGAGCAGTGATTCATGTGTACTTTTGACAACTTCCTTCCTATGTTGATATAAACAAGAAAGCCATAGTGGGTCTGCTCACATGAAAAAAAAAAGAATGCATAGACAAATTGCCCAAAGTCCATCTATGTTTCCGAGAATGAGCCATCCCACAGTTTTGCTTCCTCGTGGATTTTGGAAGTTGCCTCTGGTAACGCCACATCAATAGTGGGAATATAGCAGCCCACCCCCATGGAATTTCTGTGACCGAGACCCAAGTAGTGTGACCGATCTGAAGCAGCGAGCCTTCACTCCCATCTTCTGCATGTCCGAGTGCATCGTGTGTCAGTTGACAATAGATTTTCCAAATCTCCCACTTCCTGCTGTCTCAAGAAGGAAACAAAACGGTCTCCTGCGGTGAAGAGGCTTGGCTTTCTGCGGGGATGGAAGAAGTGAGGGTTTTCGGTTACGACTTCTTTTCCTGTTTGGAAGGAACCTGCTGTCATCACGCGCGCCCTGGATATGTGCAGGGATTGTCACGAGAACCTGGAAGCCGCAGGTGTGGGGAGGAGCCCTACCTCGGCGGCATCCTCTCGGAGCTGTGAAACTCGGGGAGACAGCTGTTTACTGCTCCAACAGATGTTTCTCATTTTTTAAAAAGTCTCGTGGAAACTTTGAATCATGTAAGTGCCTTTCCAGCCCTATATACGGTTGTGATTCATACCAAGGCAGTCTCATGCTTTTAGCCCAGACCCACCAAACTACCAAGGACGCTGGCCTTTTATTTTCTTTCACATCCTTCCCTCGAGAACCCTGATTTAGGTGTTTCCATTCTGTAGGGTAATTCTTTTATTTGTGACCTGATGAGGAAAGATTTCCTCTGTCCAAATATAGTCGGATTGAGTCATAGCTGTGGGCGTCTGTGACCAGAGTCTGGCTGTGCCTGATTCTGGGGAAATCAAGGATGCCTTCTTTTGTACCATCCTTGCTCAAGGGAGAGTTGGAAAATTGACTTGATGTGAAAGAAGCCTTTCTTCAGAGAGATCTGAGGGTCACCTGCATCAGAATCCCTGGAAATACTTGTAAAACAAGTAAGTCCCCAGGACCCATCCTGACCCTGAGGCGTTGGAACTCAGGCAGGGTGGCCTTGTGGGCCTGTGACTGGTGCTCCACACACAGAGCCCCGCACTTGGAGGGACCCTGCACTTGGTTTAAAGCTCTGCCGTGGTCATCATGAAATTTTAAGTTTGTGAACAAGGTATCCCTGATTTGCATTTTGCTGTGGACTTTGCAAATCACATAGCAGGTTTCAGGCCTAGAAATCTGACCTACCTAGTGAGACCTTTTGCCTCCTCTTCCGGAGATGTAACCCACTCCCTTCCATTAACTAGCAAAATAACAACTTCACAGGCTCCCTGAATTTGGCCGCTGTGGACTCCAGGCTTGTGTCTGTCAGTGTTGGTTTGGGCACGGGGATAGGGAGACCAGACCCTGAAAAAGACAGTAATATTTTCCAGGGAGCATCTAGCATCATCTAGCATGTTTTTTTGTTTTGCTGTTTCGATACAGGGTCTCGCTCTGTCACCCAGGCTGGAGTGCAGTGGTGTGGTTATAGCTCACTGCAGTGTTGACCTCCCACACTCAAGCAATCGTCTCGTCCCAGCCTCCAAGTAGCTGGGACCACAGGTGTGCACCACCATGCCTGGTTAATTTTTGTATTTTTTTTTTTTTTGTAGGGAGGGGTCTTGCTGTGTTGCCCAGGCTGGTTTCAAACTCCTGGGCTCAAGCGATCCTCCTGCCTCGACCTCTCAAGGTGTGGGGATTACAGGCGTGAGTCACCAAGCTCTGCCAATTTTTCTATTAGTAAGCTCTGCCACCCCTGTCTCTTATACACATCTAGATGTGTATAAGAGACAGGTTCCACCCCAACAGCGGGGCAGCTGGAGAGTTTGGAGCCCTGCAGACCGTCCGCCTGGAGCGTTACAAAGCCTTCTACGTTACTGGTGAGTGAGGGGCCACTTAGCCCTGCCTCCCACATGCACAGCTGCACGGGGACCCCGTGGACTCTCACCTAGGCCTCTGGGAATGAGTGTGAACCCCTCCTTTGGGGGGTTCTCAGCCCCTCTTGACAAGCATCTCCTCCAAACCCAGGGTCCCTGCACAGGCCCTCTGGATCCCCCATATGCAAATAAGGTCTTTGTGCTATTCACCTGAATTTCTAGCGAGCTGGGGACTCTCAGCACGTTTATTCAGCTCCTTTTCACATACAGAGCGTTTCCTATTGTCGTGCTTTAAATGCCAGTTTGGATGAACAAGCCTAGAGATATTTGAAAGTGTAATTTACTTGACAATAGACTGTTTCAGAAACTAGATTTTAGAGGACTAGTTAGCAAACCGACAGAAGTCCCTCTGCTTCTTAGTTCACTGTGACTGTCTGTCTCTTAGATGTATATTTTAGAACGTCATACGGGATCAGCATGGTCCTCAGGGTCTTCCAGCGGCTTCTTGCTGCCAACCGAATTCAGACTGTCAATCCCGAGTCCTTCTGTCTTTCCAGCCTTAGTTTTCCAAGAACAAGTCTCCTCTTCCTTGTTCTCCGTATTAAAACCCTTTTAAGCTTTTATGGCCCAAGTCAAATGCCACGTTCATAAAACTCTTGCTTATCTTCCCAGCCGGGTAGGAATTCTGGAGGACTCTGTTATCTCTCACTTTCTGCCACGCATGCCAGTCATTTAGGTACACGTCTTATTTCCTGTAGCAGTTTTGTTGTTGTTGTTTGTTTGTTTGTTTGTTTTGAGACAGAGTCTTGCTCTGTCGCCCAGGCTGGAGTGCAGTGGCGCGATCTCGGCTCACTGCAAGCTTTGCTTCCCGGGCTCACACCATTCTCCTGCCTCAGCCTCCCGAGTAGCTGGGACTACAGGCACCCGCCACCTTGCCCGGCTAATTTTTTGTATTTTTAGTAGAGACGGGGTTTCACCGTGTTGGCCAGGATGGTCTTGATCTCCTGACCTCATGATCCACCCGCCTCAGCCTCCCAAAGTCCTGGGATTACAGGCGTGAGTCACCGCGCCCAGCCTGAACCTGTACTAGTTTTAAGCTTTCTAAATTCAGAACTCTTTCAGTGCTTTAATCTTTGTTGTCTTGAAGTGCTTAGTACACTTAGTAGGAACGCTACAATTTTTTTTTAAGTGAATGAAAACCAAAAAATAAAAAAAGGAAAACCTGTGACCTAATGCAGATTCCAACTTGATTCAGTTATTTAATGTTGGAGCTTTTCAAAGAATTATATAAGAAAAAAATGATTTTCCCTGAGTGTAAATAAGTGATCCTGAAGAAAATGTGGCGTAAAAACGAAACATGACTTGAGGGGTATTAAAAATGTCACAGAAATCTTTGATTCTCTAAAACCTAAAACTCGAAACAGTCAGATATGTGTTGTTTTCAGTTGAAAAGTTTCTAGATTAGAGTCCTTATATTACATTATCTAAGAGGTATGGGCCTTCCAGGCTGAGTTAATTTCACAAGTAGTAGTCCTGCCAGAAAGCCCTTGGCACCACAACGTTGGAATCATACATGTTACTATGAAGTAATAGGGCTATTTAAAATGATCACAATCAGATACGAATTATAACACTCAGGGGAGGTCTGCTCTTCTAAGGAGTCACCAGACTTCCAAGAGAGTCTGGGTAGGGAGCACTGAACTTTTAATCCATCAGTGAAAACTGGGAATAGGATGAAACAGCAGCATGTTCTGATTCCTTCTTCCTCTTGCTTCTAATATTTGCATTCCAGTTACTTACAACTGCTTTTGGATAAGCTAGATGAATTGACATCTACCACATTAGATTAGAGAAAAGATGTGTTTTTCTATGATGAGGATATGATGTTATGGTCATGCCCTGGGAGTGACCTTAAAAAGACAACCAGTCTGTTTTGGGATGTGGCCTAGAATTCAGGTGTACCTTATTCTTCTTCTTTTTAAAAACCAGTTAAGGTAACCTGTACACAAAGTGAAAGGCCCAGATCTATAATGTATAATTTGGTGAGGTTTTATAAATGTAGATAGCTGTATATGTACCCTTTTAATGGTGTGAATTCCATTGATTCTTTTTCTTTTTCCACTGATCGATTTTCAAATGTTAAGCCAACTTTACATTCCACGATAAATCCCATTTAGTAATGATGTATCATACTTTTTATATCTTGCGGATTTTGATTTGCTAAGATTTTGTCTATAATTTTCCTTTCTTGTCTGTGTCAAGGTTTGGTATCAGGATTTTGCTGGCCTTATAAAGCGAGTTCAGAAACATTCCCTTCTCTGTTTTCTGAAAGGGTTTGTGCAAGATCAGTATTATTTCTTTCATGTTTGATTGAATTCATCTGTGATATGATTTGCCAAATTCATTGTTGTGAAGATTTTGTCATATTTTTTAAAAAGAGTGTTAGTATTTTAGGTCTTGTATTTAGATCTCTGATCCATTTCCAGTTAATTTTTGTATGTGGCATAAAGTAAGGGTCCAACTTCATTGTTTTACATGTTGACATCCAGTTTTCCCAGCACCATTTATTGAAAACACTGTCCTTTCCCCATTGCATGGTCTTGGCACCCTTGTTAAAAATCATTTGATCATACATGCGAGGGATAATTTCCACTGTCTATTCTATTCCATTAGTTATATGTCTGTGTTTATGCCAGTACCACACTGTTTTGATTACTGTAGACTTGTTGTAGTTTTGAAATCAGGAGTGTGAGTCCTCCAGCTTTGGGCTTTTTTTTTTTTTTTTTTT